CTTTCCTTGTTTTTTTCTTTTCTTTTCGAATTGAAAAATAGTAGAATAGCAATACAAAGCTAATTGCGATTTTGAGGCGGCTAAGCAAATATCCAATACGTATTTTATGATGTTTTCTGTTCGATACAACTCATTTTCAGAGCCTATGTCAATCTAGACTAGGCCTGACACACCACCCGGCTCCATAAGCCAGTTTGTGAAATCAATCTTATCTGTGAAATCAATCTTATCTGTGAAATCTTATCATACTTTCTTCAATTTCTTTTATCAATAGTAGTATTTCCAAACTTGTTTGACTAAACTGGTACCTAACTCGAACTCAGTCGGGAACTCGAACTCGAACTCGAACTCTGGTCGTAGTAAATCTCCATCGAAGGTTTGAAGACGTGTTCTAAATCAACATAAAATTTGGGCAACTTTGCATGAAATTCTCCAAGAATTATTGATAGTTTGAGAAGCCATATCAAGCACGTGAAAGAGTGTTTCTGTCACGGATTATCGACTCGAGTTAACATTATTCACGAATTACAGTCAAACCTATGCTTGTCAAGAAGGCTCTAAATATCGACGACTAATATATATTTGTCGAAAAAGGATATATCTGTCCACATCCTTATCTATACATTGAAACATATATTAAAGAAAGTTGCAAAAACAAATGCGTCGATATATATTCATGTCTTTTCGACATATATATATTATTCGTATCTTTTCGACATATATGTTCCTTTTCGACATACCATAACAAACATATTTAATTTATCAAGGCTCGCCAGAATCTGCACTCTGTTCCGAGAAAACTTGAAGCAATATTTACATTACAATGTTTTTACACTTTGAATTGACATTGAATACTAGAAGAATTTTTAGAGAAGTAATTCAATATCATTTTTACCTACCTTGTTGTAGATTAGAGTACTTTTACGGCCACTAGTTTCGTTATCCCACACTTCYGCCTTGCCTTTCATCCAAAAATTCTAAGAAAGCTTCCTGACATCATTCACCACAGGTCTCTCCACAGGTAGCCCAAGCTTGGTTTCTGTGGTGTCATGTTATAAGGAAATCAAATTTCAATAAAATCATTGAAACGTGAAATAAAGCCTCGAAATTTTACCCGATCATTGAGAAATAGCACTTCTTTCGCTCTTTCTATTCAGAAAGGCACTAGAATTGTTCTTTTATGTCGAAACATTCTGTAAATTTTACAGTGAACTTGCTCGACTGCGAGAATAATTCTTGGTTTTCACCTACGTCATCATGAATTTCAAAAGCGTAAATTCGCATTATAATGAAATAAAAGTTTCATAATCTTGTAAAGCGCTCAAAACTACATATTCTGGCCAACTTTCGATGCTGTAAAGCATTTCGTTGCTGAACTAGAGGCGAGTAAACATGACGCAATTTTTGGTTAAAATGTATGGAGCGGCCATCTTGGNCACTTTCGGCTACAGTTAATTGAAAAATATATTACAAAATTTCTTTTCTTTCAAACTTAATACGCTTCCGTCGTCGACGAAGAACATTTTATTTTATTAAAGCTCTCAAATTGTTTGAATGACAAAGAAATCGTACAGTCAGTTATTCTTCTATTGACGATTTGTGTTTCTAATTAGAATGATAAATTTTAGCCCAAAACATCTTAAAAACAATCATAGAGGTTGACTAAAGTGCGAGTCTGCGAGTCCGAGCCTCTGTGTGCGAGCCACGAGTCTATTTTGCGAGCCTTCAGTTTATGCATACAACTTTTGTAATTTTGAACCTTTTTTTTTTGTAGGAGACTACTATCTGGTTCATATTCACCTACCTGGTGGATGCACGAACCCAGTCCCCTAACTATGACGCCGTTTAAGTTACTGCAAACTTAAAAATGATCAAGACTTTTACGTCCTGTTTRGTGAATAAAGTTATTACACATTCATATTTATCTGGTTTCAACCTCTAAAACAAATACCACCAGTGAAATTTTTGCCGAGGAAGGCTAGGTTCATGGTTTCTCTCAGCAGGGCTTCAAGCATGAGCGACTTTATGAAAATATTYAACACTTCATTCTGTTTGTTTCGCCCCTCKGGGTAATCTTTTCTCTAAATGTCGTCTTAGGCAGTAAATAATGAATTAATGAAGTGCATAATAAAATTGCAGAGTTCCACATGTAAACTCCATCGTCAAAMTTCAGACTGAAATCGCAAAAGACCAAGGGTCTTTCCATAAATAAACGCGAAAAMAAATTCCGCAGTTATGAGACATTAATATAATTTGGTCATTAAAGGATTTTTAATTTAAAAAATCCAATATTTTAAAGCAGATTTCTAACTAAATGGGAGTTTAATTTACT